CTGTTGCTCTGGACCTGTAGCAGCATGATGTAACACATGGAGGGAGGGAAGAAGGGAGGGCAGGAAGAAGGGAAGGAGGGGAGAAGGGAGTGAGGGGAGGAAAGAAGGAGGGAGGGAAGGGGAGTGGTGGGGATGGGTACAATTCTCTGTGTAGTTCCTCTTCTGTTGCTAATGTTCAGGTGGTTTTGGATACAGAGTAGCTCAGGCTGGCCTCAGATTCTAGACCTTTCTTTGCAGACTCCCAAGTCCTGGAATGATAACGGTGTACTGTCACTGTCCTCTTCTGAATTTTCATCTCTGAGAATAAGAAGTCTGCTCTGCAGCTTTCACTGTTCCTCTAAGAACTGATTTCTCCACTCATGCAATTTCCTAGATCCACAATAAGCTTTTATATAGAGAAAAATAAAAGCGACTAGAAAGGTTAAGTATATATTTAACAGTTTAACTTGCTTCCGTCTCATTAGTAATCCTATTACTAACTACTCATTGAGAATCCACATCGTATGAAAGGCAGGGTTAGATTGTATATGGATTGACTCTATATATTCAGCCCAGATTCTTATTTAATGGTCAATTAAATATCAATCCTGGAGGATGACGGTGACTTACACAAAGTAGCACAAATAATTGAAATAGTTAGACTAGAATGTTGTCTAAAGGAAGCAAGATTTCCAATTCTCATAGATACAGACAGATAGGCAGACAGACAGACAGACAGACAATTTTGAACTAGGGTCTCTTATAACCCAGGCCCACTTCACACTCACTATGTAAGCGTGATAACCTTGAACTGCTGATTCTCATGTCACCACTGCTCAGCTGGTACCAACACACTTAGCTCATCAATGTCATTTTAGATGTCTGTGTCTGCTTGTCGTTGTGGTTAATGAAAGCACTGGGTGAGAGGAATGGACTAAACATGTGAAGCCACTTCCAATCACTCCTAAACCATAACAAAGACTTTTTAAATTAAATACAGAATCTGACATGTATGGAGTAAAGAAAAGAAAAGATAGGCACAAAGTCTGAGCCAGTGGGCAAAAGGAGCAAGCACTGAGTGACCTAGTGGATCCGAGACAGAGCTGTGCCTTCAGTGGCCTCCCCACACTGAGGACAAAAGCTCTCTGACACAGTGGCCAGCAGATGTATAGGCTCACCCAGCAGGAGAGCACACTAGCTGCTGAGACAACTGCGAGCAACCCCCTCCCAAAGGAAGGCTCATCTCTGTTTGTACCTGTGAGTCCCTGCCCTCCCGTGTCTCCCCCAGTCAGGAATGCAGGGCACATGGTTCTGGAGCAGAGGAATTAAGTGTGGAAGGAGATGGTGGCCAGCTGGCAAGGAAGTCTGTTGTGAAGTGAGAGGCAATGCCCAACTTCACTTCATGTTGAATGGATAGTTTGATAAAGAATTCGGTGACCGCCACTGTACTCAAATACTAAACACCTGTATTTCCCAGCGGTGTCTTAGGAGTTGAGCTGGCATTTGAGACGCGTCAGAGCCTGGTCTTCCGAGGGATAATCCTCATGAGGCAGTTGGTTCCTCAGAGCACAGCTCTGTTCTTTCTGTCTCTTTTAAAGTATCTCAGAAATTCATTGTTCTTTATTAAATACATATATTTTTCTTAACTGTCCTCAACATGGCAAATGACATCAGCAACAGCCAAAGCAAAAGTATTATAACTATCATCAGTCTTTATTTCATAGACATCTTTATGAGTCTTTTAATTGCATGGTTCTTCAGCAGAGTGATAGAAAGCGTAAGACTTTCTGGATTACAGCTGCCTTTAGGCAGATCTTGAGCCTCCCCCAGCCTACTCCCTAGCTTGCTTGTGCATTCCAGTCATATTTGAATATCATCTGATGTTTGCCTGTCCACAACAGCCCCCATCACTTCAGCCATCTGTGTACACTGTGACTACTACTTAAAAGGTTATTCTGTTACTCATCTGACTAAAGTACATATTATCTTTAGGACTCCGTTTTGACATAGCACCCTACGGCACATGCCCTCTTTGACCCAGTATATGCATGGCTTCATAGCCCACACACACACACACACACTCCTACTGTACCTGACCCATCTTCCGACAGAGCCAATATTCATTCTGCTTATCTGCCTGCCTTCTGGACAGTAAGCTCCTTGAGGCTCTGAATTGTCTTGTCCTCACATGCATAGCAGCTAGCACAATTGTTAACTCAGTAGCAGAGACTCGAGTAGTGCATCTTGAAGGAATTTGGGAATTGTGCTCATTTTAGAGTATTTGCGAAATAGATCCAGAAAAAGAAAAAAACTGCACGCATCTTTAATCCAGCACTCAGAAAGCAGAGGCAGGTGAATCTATTGAGTTCAAGGCCAGCCTAGTCTGCAGAGTGAGTTCCAGTACAGCCATGGCTACACAGAGAGACCCTGCTTTGAAACACAAACAAACAAAAAAAGATATCTTAAAAAGAACATCAATATAAATACTAAATCTTGGTCAACTTAAGCAACAGAGACTTTGTCTCAAAGAAAGGAAGGAAGAAAGAGAGAAGGAGAGAGGGGGGAGGGATAGAGGGAGGGAGGGAGGGAGGAAGGGAGGGAGGAA